AAACGCTATGTCGGGTCGCGTGCAACGCGCCACCCAGAGCAGCAAGCCGACCAGCGACTGTAACTGGCGCACTGTCGGTCCTGGTCGCGCGCTTTGAGTATCAAGAAGCTCTGCGTCGCCCTCCTCCAGATCGTTGCAGCTGTCGTCGATCGGCGTCCACGTCGAGTTGGCGTCGGCGAGCCCGTTGTCGCGCAGGAGATCTCCGATGGCCTCCTCCTGATCGAGCGTGTACTCGCGCTGACCATTGTGCGTCACGGGCATGCCCAGGAACTTGCTAAACCGCCCCAGGTCCTTAATCGACAGCGAATCAAGGCTTTTAAAGAACCGCTCGACCGCCGCCGCGCTCGTCCCTGTCGCGAGGAGATCGTCGACATACACGCTGACAACATCGAGTTTGTCGCCGTCGCGCTTCCAGTAGAAACACATGTCGCTCTCGCATCGCGTGAAACCAGCAGCATTGATCTTTAAGTGCAGCAGCTGGCTCCATAGACGGCCTGCCTGCTTGAGCCCATACAGGCTCTTTCTCAGCTCCAGCACCAGCTCGCTCGCGTTCGCAACTCCATGCGCTCGCAGCGTCTCCTTCGAGACCGGCATGCCGCGCGGCATTCAAAGGAAGATGCGGGGGTGTGGCTCCTTGTCGGCTTTGAAGTAGGCGTTGGGGATGTCGCCGTGCTTGGCAGGCACCCTCCACTTTGTCGCAAGCGCCAGGATCACTTTGACGTCGACAGGTCCATCAAGGCAGCGAAGGTGAGCGTGTAGTCGACGCCGAGCACCTGCTCGTTGCCGCCGCCACCAATCGCGCCTTTTGCCGCTCGAGGTCGCTTTGCGCATCCGTATTGGTCTTATATACCCATTTGATGTGCAGCGCGTGCGTCCCTGGCGTTCGCTTTGAGATCGTTCAGAATTCGTAGTCCTCGAGCGCGGCGATCTCTTCGTGCATAGCCTTCTCCCACTCTGTAGCGGTTGCCACTGTGCATCTCCTGTACGTAGTTTAGCGTATCGTGTTCAAAAACAGCTTTCACGACATTTCCGCTAGCGGCTGCCTCCTCCTGAAGAGCAGTCGCTTCTGCGCGTTTCGACGCGCCGCGTATTCCATGAACCGACCGCGTCCATTGCTTTCCTCTCTACTTCCGCGTCACGCTGTTCCCTTCTGCTCGACCATCATTTACCGCTGCTGCTGCTGGTATGTCCGGCACTTCCAGGGCTACGGCTCGATCGCCGACGTCCATCGCGCGCTGAAGCTGTGCGTTTTGCGCCTCCGTCAGCGTCTCGATGTTCTGATGTGTTGCGTGACGACCACTTTGTTGTCACGCGGTAGCAGCACCTTGGAAAGCCTTTGGTTTCCTCGCTGACGCCGACAATGATGGCGCGTTTCGAGCGCTGCAGCAGCGAGTTCTTGCCTAAACCTCCTTTACACGTCGCACGGGGAGCCGATGACGACGATTCGCGCAGATCCGGCGTCTTACCCGTCATCACCTCAAGTGGTGACGCTCTCTTTGCGTTTGCTCGCGTGCTCCGATTAAGGATGTGCACGGCGTATTGCATCGCGTCTCCACAGAACGTCAGTGGCAGCGCGCAGGAAAACATCATACTGCGCGTGAACTTCAGCACTGTGCGGTGCATTTGTTCCGTCTTGCCGTTTAGAGCTTGGATGCGCGCCTCCGAGACTTGGCACGCGACGCCCGTGCGCTTGCAGAACAGGTCCACGTTGGCGTATTCGCCGCCTTTATCCGTGCGGAGCACGTGGATCTTAAACCTAAAAAGCTTCTCAAAGTGAACGAGAAATGCCTCGAACTTCTTCGCCGCAGCGTCCTTTGTGCGCGCGAGGAAGACTCGGCAGTAGTTGCTCTTGTGATCAATAAAGTTCACAAGGTAACGATTGCCGAGGGGATCTTGCGGCGTTATGGGATCCTTGAGGTCCAAGCAGATGAAGCCGCAGATGCGATCGATGAACGAGTGCGCGCCGCTGTCTTGTTGCGACTGTGCGTTGCGCGTCTGCTTGTCCTCGAGGCACGACACGCACGCCGTGCGTTTGTTGCTGCTCATTCGAATGCCCAATGCCGGGTCTCGCGCCATGCGTTCGATCGTGTCGAATGCGAGGTGGACTCGTCGCTGGTGCCAATGCAACAGCGAGGCTTCTTGCAGCTCGTCGGCGGTGGTTTCCATTGCATGCGCTTCGAGCGCCGCCATAATTGCGTCGCCGCCTGCACCCTCCTTGTCACGCGTGGCCTTCGTCACGACATACAGCACGTTACTGTCGATCACGACATGAACGCGACCGCACCATCGCTGCGCCGAGCGAGCGAGCGCTCGTCGCCGTCGTGCACGAGGGCAAACCTTTTGTTCTCGATCTTGCCGTACGACGCAATGTTCTTTGCCAGTCTCGGCGCCATGTACACGTTTGTAAGCGTCACGAAAGCCTTCGCGCCACGCGCGATAACCTCAAGGCGCACGCTGCCGACCTGCGTCAGGTGCAGTAACTCGCCGTCTGCCATCGCGATCTCGTGGCTGCAAGCCGTCGAGTTGAGCAGAAGCGACTCGTCGTTGACGAGATGCCGGATCGCGCCACTGTCGAGGATCCAGTCTCCTCGGTCGGCGTCCGTGGCATCGGTCGTCGCAAGCACGAAGCCACGCGTGCCATCCGTGGCTCGTGCTCCGTCTCTCAATGCAAGCACGAAGCCGCATGAGTCGTCGATGGTTTGCCCTCCGTCTTTTGAATTGCTCGCTGTTGTGTCCTTGCCGCGCGAGCCCTTCTTCTTCCTGTTTCGCTTCTTCGTGGGCTCAATACGCTTCTCGGTCAGCGCGAGGATCATGCTGGCGCCTCCACCCTTTGTCGTCGTACACTACACGCGCGCGACAGTCAGCCGAGATGTGCCCCGATCGCCCGCATCGGTAGCACGTGATCGCGCTCTTGGTTTTGCCTTCCATGTGCGCGGAGACGAACTCACGGCCCACTGCGCTGCTGCCATGCTCAATGGACTGCGCGAAGTGCGCCAGCTCCTCGGCGTGGCGTAGGTAGTCGACTCGTGTGGGTTCTTACTTGGAAAGCATCACGTTCATCAGCTCCGGAGAAGCGTGGTGGACGATTTTATTAAGAACAAGCGAGTCGGCACCACCACGCGCCTCGCTCACGGCGACCATTTACATGAAGTGCTCGGCCAGATGCGTAGTGCGTCCTTCTTGGCCATCAACAGCTTCATCGCCTGGCTTGCAGTTATTGACGTCTTGAACTTGCGCAAAAGCCGCTCTATCATGTTATTCAGCGTGGATGTCTGCATTCACCAGGTGTCGACCTGCTTGTGATAGTACCTCTCAGCCGTGCCGGCAAGAAAGTGCCCAAGAAGGTCAACCTTGACGTCTCTGATCCATCCGAAACCACACTACGCTTCCGCGAGGCTCACCGCGCGCAGAAACGTGCACCCCCAGTCGAAAATATCGCTTCCGATTCCGCGGTACAGATCTGTACCATCGAACTTGCGTAATGTTCAACTTACGCTGGCTTGCCGAAGACATCCCATATCCGTTGAGGCCCGGGAGAACATAAGCTTGCGGCGGAGCGGCTTGTTGCGGCGTCGGTGAGTCTGCATGCGCTCGTGGAGGTGGCGCATACGCTGGTGCGAGCTGCTGCGATACTGCGCGCGCGTGGGGTGGCTCGAGCAATGCGAATCTCGACACGCTCAGATCGGTCGCGCAATGGTATTTGCGCGGCGACGGTGCCTTCTCCTCCGCGTCTCCAATCGCGTCAATCGTCATCGGACGACCGCGCGTGTTGGCGCCGATTTTAAAGGCGAATAGGCCGCTCTCCACGGCCCCGAGCATCCGCTCCTCCTCGTCTCGCACTCTCTGCGACGTCTCGAGGCTCATCAGTCAATCGGTGAGCGCGGCGAGGATCTTTTCGTCTCGCTGCCCGCTCTCGCGAGCGGGTCCATCGTTGACGACTGCGGGTGCGGTGGGCGCACGCATTGGCGAGCCGCGTCCAGGTGGGGCTCGCGGGACAATTTCTGGTGTCTTCGTAGTCGGTTCGGTGGCTTCGGCCATTGGGCTCATAACCTATAGGCAAGATGCGTGTTGCGAGAAGGAATCGGTAGGTGAACAATAAGATTCTGTATTGCTTCTTATTAGTTCTCTCTTCTGTCTGCCTCCTAGCTACTCGTTCTCCTAACAGTATGTGCTCCAACCGTCTCAACGACAGATGGTTGCTGTCCAACTTGTCTACTACCATCTTGCACTGACTATCTCTGACCAGATTGACGGCTGGCGCTAATCGAACTCACGATCTTCAACATTAATTTCCAACAAAGGGGCTAGATCTTTGTTACTTACACAGACTATAGAGGCGCAAGGGAGCGCGCAATAAGTAGCGCTCTTAAGATTAATTTCAACTCTGATTTATATAGATTTGGTTTTATGCTAAGTACGAGTGGTCTTTAGGAACACTCATTTACACATCTCTTCTCCTATTGGCTGATAATTAGACTGATTCTCACTAACCTGCAAATAGAGATACGAACGGCTAAACCTGCTAACTCGGGTGTAGCATATAACTCCTTATGTAACATGAATTTAATTATGGATAGTTGTGTAACGATACACACCGTTACAATGGCAAAGGTAGTGCTGGCGTCAGCTGGAGTATGGGGTGTAACTTCTCAAGATGGTGATGTTTAAATGCTTCAATCAAAAGTAGACAAGAAGAAAATCTCGAGATCGCTTATACCTACCACAGGGCATGGAATTCGACAAGGACGATATGAAGATTCTGGGTTCTGTTGACAAGAGTAAGGTGGCGCTGAGACTATGTATGGGCTCAAGCAGACTGAACGGGTGTGAGTACAGCATCTGCATGCTACGCTTACTAAGTTTGACTTCATACAGTGCTACACGGACAGTTATATATACGCGAAAGGTAACGAGTCCCCGACTACGTTGGTTGGTGTTTCCGTGGATAATCTATTGGTGACGAGCAAAAAATACGCGACGTGAATCATTGATTTAAGGACATGGATGCACTCGAGGTAAAGGACCGTGAGAAATTGACTTGAGTTTCTTTGCATTGGTGTTACATGTTTGCAGAAAACAGGGAATAAACTGGATCAAGCTCAATATATTCGCGAGGTGCTCGCTGGATCATGCTTGGAGCAAGCCAACCCTGCACGCACCCCAATTGGTAAAATTCAGGACGTCAAAGACGAGGACGATTTGCTACCGAGTGAAAGTGAAAGTTCACGCATAAGTCTAACCATGAGCAAGCTCCTGTCATTGGTTGGGAGCCTGCTGCGTCTGTCTCGATGCACAAGACCAGACTTTGCATTTCCGTGCACCGGGCCAGCTAGCGAGCGCATGCACCGCGAGACAGAGAATGGCGATGAGAGAAACGATTTGCTAGTTATTTAAATGGAACTGTCGATGTGAAGCTTAAACTAAGGGTGTAACAGGGCATCTAGTTACACGTAAACATTGAGTAATATACTTAATGTTTGGTCTTAAAGTATCCATGATTACTTTTGAGCTGTCACTTGGGTGCGATACACAAACGTGATCCACCCTCGTGAATGTGATATCCATTTATGGATTCACATGGGAAGGGATGACGCTAGTTGAAGCGAGGCATCACGACGTCTCAGAAGGACGTCATTCGCAAGCTTAAATCTAGATTTAAGTTCATGCGACAGGATACGCTTCTAAAGAGTCGCGTATCCGATCTATATACATATATAGCCAATCAGTAGTTAAGTATATATTTAATTATAATAAATTAAAAATAGCTCAGTCTTGAATTTGCTAAATCGAAAGCACCGCGCACGAGAAGCTCTAAAAAGCTTCTGCGTGACGTCGGTGACTTCTTGTTAAGAAGTTCGTTGCACTCTCGCTTATGCGAGAGGCAACTGGTGGAACGAATGCTTAACATTCGAGCAACCTCACAACCACCCTTGCACGCGAAGGTAAGACGGTCTAACCGCTTCCTCGCTTATGCTGAAGGTGTGTGCTAGTAGCACGAGGCAACTTCGTAGACGTGCCCGTCTACAAAGGGGGTGTCTGGACACGAAGGATAGGCAGTTAATTTTGAATGCTACAGTGACGCGGATTTACGCAGCAGATCGCGCAGATCGTACATTATTTAGTGGAGGTGTGATATGCTTAAATAGTATGGATGTGTCGAAAACAGGTAAGCGTGGCATTATTCAAGAGAGAGGCCGAGTTTGTGGCAGCATCACTGATGACGAGCGACCGGATACGACTAAATGCACTGCTTGGCGAAATTGGCGTAAGCTTGACTAAGCCAATGCTGATGCACGTCGATAACACAGCTGCAACCAAGCAAATATGAGATGGAGATAGCGCAGGACGAGCGAAGCACATCACTGTACGAATCAGATTATCAAAAACTACAGCAAAAAGGAAGTGATCAAGGTGGTGTATTGCGAGTAGCGTGTTTATGCGAGCTGACGTTCTCACCAAGACAATCATCGCGCCGAGATTGATGAAGCTACGAAAGCTGATCTCGCAGGTGTGAAGACATCTCGGGAAGGAATGCCAAAAGGACGCAGATGTTGTCAAATCGTTGCGATCTTCGGAGAAGGCGGAGCAACTCTTAGGGACCCATTAGGAAACAATCGATGGTATCGGACACAAGAGATAGCTAAGATCGTAAGCTTTGATACATTAAGTTTCTCATTTAGTTTCTCATTATCAAGCTCGGCTATTTCACAAACGCCGCATAATGCAGCAAAGAAAAGCATTGAAGCTGCAGAACAGGCAGCAGTACTTGATGCCTTACATTTTGGACCAATTACAATCTAGTTTTCTCCTCTTTCGATTGGTTAATAAATTACACTTAGTCCCATTGTCAAAATTGTCTTGACTTCAACTTTTGATACATGGTAAACAGGATAAAGAGGGTTATCAATTCGTGTTTTTGACATACAAATTCTGTGATTGCAACTTGAAAAATGACCGTCAAATATCACACTAGCGAGAGTCAAGTCGCGTCCGTCGTAGCCATTGACACGCACTTTAAAGCTCGAATGTCCCCAGTTCATCCTAAAGATCAAAAGGTAGCAACATCATCAGCAAAAGCCATTGACTTGACGCTGGATGAGGTGCCTGTAAACGTAAAGAGGAGACGTTCATTCTATGAGGATTCCGATGACGACAATAGCAACAACATAGCGTCACAAACAGCACTGGATTTGATCCGACAGAGTCGCCGACGTGTAACGGTAGTATCTGAACCTTTAAAGGCTAAAAAGCGAGCAATTGAGACATCAGGAACTTATTTTTTAGGTCCAGCAGCTAAAAATCCACAGGATCTTGTGACAAGTGCCAATAAAAACGTGTTTGGTAATGAAAAGTTTAGGAAAAACCAGCGCCAAGTGGTCGAGACGACAATGCGAGGTCAAGATTGTTTTGTATTGATGCCTACTGGAGGTGGAAAAAGCCTGTGTTATCAGTTACCAGCCGTGCTTTCTAAGGGGGTGACGATTGTAGTGTCCCCATTGTTGTCACTTATTCAAGACCAAGTGACAGCTTTGGTGCAAAATCCAAAATGTGGCATTCCTGCTGCATTTTTGACAAGTCATACAGCCTTGACATTGAAGAGGTCCATTGTAGCAGAGCTGAGACGACCGATACCTAGTGTCAAGTTGCTGTATTTAACACCGGAAAAGATTGTCAAGTCGGAAGAGATGATGAACTTATTACAGACCTTGCATCGCAATAAGGCACTCGCGAGGTTTGTTATTGATGAAGCTCATTGTGTCAGTCAGTGGGGACACGACTTTCGACCGGAGTACAGTCAATTGGGACTACTAAAGAAAACTTTTCCGGACGTGCCGCTTATGGCGTTGACAGCAACAGCGCCACCCAAGGTGATTAAAGATGTACAGCGGTCACTGCGTATCTCGAAAGGGCTGGTGTTTTCCATGAGCTTTAACCGACAAAATCTTACGTTTGAGGTGCGCGAGAAACCTCGTGGTAGCGACAAGACAGCCATGGAGGCACTCTACCAGTTCATTTCAACGACGTATTCGCAAGACGCCGTAGGTATCGTGTACTGCATGACAAAGCAGGATAGTGAAGATGTGGCCAATTACCTGTTCGATCGCGGACTGAGCGCTGACTTCTACCACGCCGGTCAGTCTGCAACGGATCGACACATGGTGCAAGAAGCGTGGCAAAATGGACAGCTCAGCATCGTGTGTGCTACAATTGCTTACGGTATGGGCATTAACAAGCCCGACGTGCGGTACGTGATCCACTTCTCGGTAGCTAAGTCCATCGAAGGCTACTACCAAGAAGCTGGTCGCGCCGGGCGTGACGGCAAGCCGTCGCACTGTATCATGTTTTACAGTCCGCGCGACGTATCCAAATTGCGCAGCATCCTCTTCATGCCTCAGAAAGGCATGACGAGAAAAACGCGTGCCGTGCATATGGAAAAGCTCCGAACCATGGCCGAGTACTGTGAGGACGATGCGACCTGTCGCCGTCAACTGCTTATCTCATACTTTGGTCAAACGTTTCAGCGCTCGGAATGCAAGCAAACGTGCGACAATTGCCAACGCACGCAACGCACTGGTGGCTTAAAAACGCTAAGCAGGTAAGTGATAAACTCAACAAGTTGATTGAGTCTCACTTAGTCATTCCACTGTTTCTTACACTGTACACACTTGTAGAATGTCGTAGAGGGCTCATCTGCTGATCGAATCTGGATCTGCATGAAGTAAGCTTTATTGAACTCGCAATGGGGACAACGAGCTGTGCAAAACCACACAGAAACACCCACACTTGAATTGTCAGTCTCCACATCCATGCAACATGACGTCTCATATTCCACGTACTCTCGGTCTGATCAACATTTTCCCACGCTTCATCCCCTCCCAGCACATCGTCCACTTGTTTGCGTTGTAGTGGCACTTTTTTCTCAACTTTATCATTGATTTGAAACAAATAAGGACACGTCTGGCAGAAGAAGCGCATCCCATCGGACTAGAAACAAGAGACAGATAAAACAGAATGAGATACGGGGATAACAAGAAACATTGAGAGATAAAAATGAATGAAATAGACACACACATCAGGCTCAACAAGCAAAATATTGCCACAACATGGACAGAAATGCATTGCAAATGAAAATGACTGGAGACGTCAAAAACGTCAGTGATTTTTGACACAATGTCAACTTTTCAGCCAATCACAAAGCTACACTTTCCACTATCAAATATGTTTTCAGGTACAAGAAAGTGTCAACCAGAGGAGATGGTGATCTCTATGCTGAAGATTTAGTGTGTTGAAGGAACTTAAAACTTTAGTTGAAGGCTCTTGTGATGGATACATTCGTTGTGACAATGTGATGATTATCGTTCGTAGCGGCAATGGCGTACGGATTGGTGAATCACTTGCTGGAGGTGTTGTACAAGCAGCATAATGTGATTTGTAAACAAGTAGGAGATGCAGACAGGGTGAAATTGCAGAAAGAGGAGGTGGAGAAGGTCAAGATTAACCTCTCGGAACGAGGTACAGGCGGACATTGTCGGGTTGGAAATTCTTGCTGTATCCAAATACTTACGACTTTGTCGCTGAGGTCATTTATTTCTATTCAGATAATAATAATGGGATGGTACGATAAGATTAGCTAGTTGTCCTACAAATGGACGACACTTCAGCTGCTTCGTAGCTCAGCTACGTCTAAAGCAGAAGGGGGCGTAGATACGCTTTGCAGAGAGTGGCACCTATGTCGAACGATGCCTGTGCGTCACATGCTGGAACGGCATATCAAGTTGGGCTCAATGAGGGCTGTCAAAATATTATGGGGTCGTTATTTGGACGGTGATGTACTCTGACAAATTGGTGAGCTTCTGCAGCTCCTCCCGTATCGCTGCCAGTTGCGAACTATGCGAGCTGGGTTCAAAGCGAAGTGATACCCTCTGTTATCCATCACGTTGAGCAATGTCAGTCATTAGAAACAAATGAGAGCAACAATCGACATGTGCTCCCAGAGCTGGCACGCTGGCTTCTGGAGATATCTGAAGTTGTAGCAGCTAAGAGTGATTTTGACACCGCTATTCCGTATTTGCCATTTATTTAAAAGAAGGATGAGACAGATTCAATGAATAGCAGAGATTATTCGTGCTACGAATTTCAGCTGCATGTTGAAACAAGCTGTTCTGAAACTCTGGATAGCAATGGGATCGACGCTAAAGAGCCGGACGTATTTGAGTGCATTGACCGACTAAGTCAAAAGACTACTACACAACAAGCATCTTGCGATGGAGCATCATTTTGTCATTTCGATCGCTACATTTGAAGATGAAAGTTTGGCAACAATTACAATGCGTATGCGTGACCATGCCATTGACCCCAAGTCGTTTAAAAAGGAAGGAATCATGTGGAAAAGTATCTTCAGTTTTGCGACGTCGATATTGATTCGGTCCTCCGCGACTACGTCACCGCGCTAGCAGAACCAATGCTGACTTCTCAGTCCGCCGAAGAAGCTCGAGCACTGGTGCTGTAAGATGAGATCTTTGATGGCAATGTCCGCGTCGATGCTACATTAATCTTGCTCAGATATGCGCTCCCCCCGTACTCTTAAGCGCTAAAAAAGATACGCAAATAACTGTATCCGCTCGCGAAAGATTGCGCCTTGTACAGATTAGAGAGCTTGTACGCTTGATGGAGATTCAAGATATACTGCCGACGTATGACATCAAGCAGTTTGTTTTTGCTGATGCAAAGAGCGCGTCACGATTGGTGGCACACATCTTAAACCAAGTGTCGAGACCCACAGCCTTGACCGATGCTATGCTCTTGGTTGATGCCTACAGTGATCTACTACTGCGCGATCGCGCAGCTGTTCAAATTTTTTGTCGGAATATGATACAGTACCTGCAGCGTATGTACTTTTAAGCAAAGTCTCACTGAGGGTGGCGATGGCAATGGAAGCATTTGCAGAGGTAAAAAAATGAAGAAGCCCAAATCTAATTTGGCGATGTATGTATCGATGATAAAGAAATTGACGCGTCCGGTGTTATGCTTTTGGAAATGGAGGTACCAGAAATGAATGATGCGCAGCAAAATTGATTTGACGTTAGACTTCAGGATGGACGTAAGCCACAGTCGTTTATTTTGTGGATGCTAAAGTCGCATGTTGCAGCTTACTTCACTGAGCTTGAAACAATGGTGGCAACAGCCTCAAATAAAGTGTACACTGAGAATGCAGTATATTTGCTGTCTCACGCGCTTCTGGTGGATCTTGAAAGAATCTGTCAAGTTGAGGCCGATTACGGACTTTTTCTTTTCCGTGTCAGTCCTGCGTGATTCCGAGAAACGCGAAATGAAGCTGAAGCAATTGATGAAACCAAAGATGATGTTTGGCGAGGGCCATGATGATGCTGAAACTACACGTAGCATCTCAAATATCTCCAATACTCACTTGTCAAGAAACCGAAAAGGTAAAAAGTGTGCTGGAGTATTAAGTGAACATCGTTTACCAGTTAATGCAAAAAGACAGCGGGCACATGAGAATGGCTGCTCTCAGCCGTTAGATTATGCATGTCACAGATTGCAGCAAGATGATGGAGAGACTCGACTCGTTTTTTGATTTGAATCAATTTGCATCGGAACTGAGCATCGACTCGAGGATATGCAGTTCTCTTTTCACCCAGTGCGCTACGCAGAACGATTTTGTTCTTGCAAGCTGCTCGCTTCTCTCGAGAATTGTTTTCTAGAAGACCGAACGCGCGTATCGACCCTTGGAACTCAGCAGCAAGTGTATCAGCACAACCTGACCATTTTGGACCCCGCCGAAGCTCTTAAAAAGGTGGCAATATCGCTTTCATTTTACACGTTAAGACATGCGAAAGAAAATTACGATATCCCTGTTGCCCGAAACCATCAGCTTTCGTCAACGTGAGTTGCTCAAGTGCAAGCACCGATGTACACGATGAGACTGCTAAAGTATGCACTCTGTATGTGTGACAAGGAGTCTTTTGATGAGACGTTGGTTCTTCTAAAATGTCGATGCTCGTTAACAAGGTCCTTCAATTTACACAGCACAGCATCTTATCATCGAAGAGTAGTGCACCATTGTGTATCCTGTATTCCCCTTGGTACCGGGGAGATGCCTGCGCCTTGCCCGGCTACGAAACAATGAAGCTTGCTAGCAGGTTTGCAAATGCTGAACACAAGAACCTCCGTCAAGAAGTCAAAGCAAGAAACACGATTGCATTGAAGCTTATATATCGTTTCTCGTTGAACAACGAGTAGACCCTGCTGAGCCTCCAAGTACTTTTGTCAATGCACGAGCTACCTGAAGACGCAGCAAGTGTTGTAAGTACACAGATGGAGAAGCTTTTATCTACTGTCTTGCATTCGCAAGAGATTGACAACTACATGGCGCTCACTGGAATGTGGCCAATAGGTATGGGTTGGCGTGCTAAACCCGACAATGACCCAACTAAAGCACAAGCACGACGAACAACTGTTGGGTGTCGCTGCTAAACAAGGCCGTTAGGATGCTAGCGCCTTCGGTTAAGAAATAAAGGAAGCTACTCTGTGCTTTGCTGGGATCCCTATTTCAAACTTGCAATTCGCATTGAAGCGTATGGTAACCCCGTATCTGGACCAAACGAGGAGGAGTGCAACAAGGCAGATATCGTAAAGCTATTGCACCTGCACGGTTTTGCTGTCAAGTGTGCGCTGACCATCCCTACACCGGTTGTCCGTCTCGAGGCGATAATGCGAATGATTCAATCTGCTGCATATGGGTCCGCGCAGCAAGAGTTACTGGACACACCATGCTTTCTCGATGGCGAACAAGCAAGAAGGTTATGATAAATGACATTGAAGTCGTTGACAACTTCCGCTTGATACAAGAAAGTTTTAAAGAAGCAGCAAAACGTGAGGATTCCTCGACCATCTTGAACACCCCTTTGAGCCAGGCTTTGTGGAGTATCTCGCTGCCACTGCTGAGATCGATTATTTTTTGTCCTTGTTGTACGTTTGCTAGCATAAAACTTGTCAGACTGGATGCTAACATGTCTTGTAATGTTGAGTTGGAGGAAAAGCGGATGCAGGCAACCTTCAATGCGGTAAAACATTACTACGAGTATCTTCCGCTTGAATTGGACGAAGTCAGATGATGAAGACACACTAGCGACTTCTAGCGACAAACGTTGGAAGCTATTTGATCAGTACTTGGCATCTTCAGACGCAGTACATCTTGAACGCTACCGGACGTCATGACAAAAGCAAACCAAAAACGTTAAACTTTTCAAATCTATTTGAACAGCCCCCACCAGTTAGTAGACTCGTATCATGCGGCAGTATCCCTCTCCTCGGTGCGGAAAATTACGTAGAAGGCAAAGAGCGCGACGATGCAGTCCATCATGAGGAATATTGCAGCTTTCGACATGGGCGCTTCCTCAGAATTATCATGAACTCTGTCCTGCACTTGCTACCATGTATGGTGAAAGTGACGGGATGCGCAAACGCAAACGCGCCTGCTTTGTCAATTTTGCTTCGAGGAATTATATAATTGAAGTCGCAGATGTGATCATTTTCCGTGGCGATCTTCTATTCATCTTCGTTAACCTCGACGGTTGGTCCACGCTGATTGTCTTCATAGATATGGAAGTACTTCGTCGCCGTTGATGAGATGCGTCCATTTCTACGACGGGTCACCTCCATGCTTCCGTCCGCCGTCTCAAGTCCAATAGGCAGCGGAAGAACATTCACTATGAGCACGTCACGGAACACACGCTGGTCCATGCCGCTCAAGATAGCTGCCTGAATAGAAGCTCTCTCGCACACCACTTTCGTCAGCATTCACAGACATGCACAGTTCCTGAGGCACAAGCGTTAGTAAGAAACAGAATGTATCATCAAGATAACAACGGACTACAATGCACCTTGCCACCGACAAAAGCCACTGACATCTTTGTGCGCAAAATCAGGATTCAAGTGGAACCTCCTACAATGACCACTTTGTCAATAGGAACAGTTACCACCTCTGCTTCCTTCAGCACACTCGACACGATCCAAAAGCACCAGCGTTCATCAATAGCCATACGACAAAGCACACCTGCTTTGCCTTTACAAGATCACGCACGCCTTTTATTTTTTCACACAGCGCTTCAAATTTGCGTTACGTGAGCGTAAACGTACAGCAGAGATTTCCAACCCGACAATGTCCGCATATTTCTTCCTCTTTTGAGACATTGACAAAAATACATGTACAGTATTAATACTCTAAAGACGTCAATGTTCTATTAATATATAGGATTTATAATTTAAGACTGGTATAAAATAATAGCTAGCCGCTGCCCAGGACCGATGCATCTATTTAATTTATGAAGGTTATGATTCTACAAAGGTTTAATTTAGACAGGTTCGATTGTACTAGACACAGCATGTCGTTTCTGATAGCAAGTCGATCCCCGTGGAAGAGGCCAGGGATTACTTCATGATGGCTCGATTAGACGCTATAAGTGGTACAATGCTCCCATCAAAGCGTCCACTGTTTCCTGAAATTCGGGTGCGCGACCAGCCCAGTCATCCGGTCACGACTGCGCACAACAATAAAACTAACCTCGGACTTGGTTAACGGACCTACTCACATGTTTCGAAAAGAGTGTGTTGCAATCTCTCTTTTATCACAACAGAGTGCACCCCCCCCCCCCCGTGACGTCCGATGCATCGAGTTAGCAGAAGGAAAAAGCGAGGAGGGGGACGATCGCGTTATGGTAGAAGACTGAGGCTATCACTCAACCAAAGATCTTGCCCATACTCGAACTTTCTGTTAAGAGATAATCTGAACCTCTCCCTTTAACTTGTTTCTACTGTACCATATATACAGTGCATAGTCTACGGATCGACACTATGCACCAGCTACGTATTCAGAGCGAAGCAGACTTTGCAGTAAAGAAATGCGTATTGCATTTCTCTAGCTCCATAAACGTGCTCAAAGCAATCAGGAAACACTTGCTAGAGGCACGAACTTACCATGTACTGATTAGCTCATTCACGAAAGCCGGATTTATAAGCATATTAACAATATATATCATCCGTTTAAAGCGATTGCTATCTGTGAACGAACCGCCCAAGTCTTTTTTTGCTGCTACTCGTCATATCAAACAAGGAACGGTGTCGTACAGACGTGTCCCGTCATCACATGGTGATCTCAGGTATTCTTACAATCCTTACAATATCCTTGAAGTTCGAGATGCCCTGCTTACTGGCTGATACAGGCCATACTATTAGTTGCTGCATGGACGCGCGTGATGAGTGGTAGGCAGATAACCAACAAGAAGACGTAGTCAGTCTCTCACTTCTCAATTTGAGCACTACCGCCCATACCACTACAATAACTCAAGCATCATGCGAACCAGCTGGACAATTCTGCTTCATGGAGTGTCGCTGTGTATTGGCAGCTGTGTTGTATCGGAGTCAACAGTCGCCACAGCTTCATACCAGAATGTGTATGAAGTTGCTAAAATCAGCAAAGGGCGATCACTTCGTTCAGCTGTGAAAGACCGCGAGGCGACCGACGCGGTCATCGAAGAAAGGATGAATAATTTTAAGGGCTTGGAAGAGGCAAAGGAATTTCTCTTGCCTGAGGCTAAGACGGAGTCCCCTTCAGTGTCTACAAGCGAAGGGTTAGATAATCGCCAATCAGTTTTTGATGAAATAATGGGACAATGGAGATTTTATAATAAAATCTCTATTGAACAAGCTGTGAATTGGTTTGTAACGTTTGGTGTCGACCCTGAGTTTCTTCACACTGCGTTAGAGCTGGAAATCCCTATAAAAGATCTTGAAAATGGGGTTCCTAAAGGAATATCCTGGAAAGAGTCGCTGTGGCTGAAAGTGTATAAGTTATGGAAAGAAACACATGACTTCAAGCCCCCAGAATATGTGGAACCCAAGCCTGAATCTTGAGTGAAGCTGGGAAGGCATTTATCGATGCAGCCACAGCTCAATTAAATCCCCGTGCGTATTGACTCAGACTTGTAGACAGTTCTTGGATAAATCACAATAAAATCTGTTGTTTGCTATATTACTTGTTAAAAAGATTAATTTTTACCACCGACACTAAAATGGCGACTTTGTATGAAATAGTAAGCAGCAACTGCATCATAGTCGCTCTTATAAGCAACTTAGGCATCTCAATGTGATCGGCAGCTATCATGGTGGCTAATTTGATAAAGCTTCGACAAGTTTTTCACGTGATGATGACATAGGTATCCGACAAAGGTAGAAGTCTTGCACTGTCTGTACGTTCACAAGCGAAGCAGCACAAAACAATGCTGCTCAGGATCTCAGCCATCATCAATCAATAGGGTCGAATAGCTTTCCTTTTCTTCACCGAGCATTACTCGGTTTAAATCGACAACGCATTCGATCTCTTCATCTTCTCGTTCAGAGACGGCGAGGATGGGTGCAAACGTGGTCGTTGCTTGTTGATAAGCTGGAAAAGGGACTGATAGCGTGCATGAGATGGCCGGTGACCCTGGTACTGACTAATGTCATGTCACCGTTTGTTGACGCCAGCTACTGCGTGGCTAATGACATCCTTACTCAAGTGCTAATGCTTGTCTTGCATAGCGTTCGTCGCAACACCATCGCTCAGCGTGATCATCCTTAGATTTATCATCGTGTTGACTCGAGAGCTCGAGACATAAGTTGTTGCTGCGTCTACTAGCGCTCTCACTCACATGCTCATTGAGTGAGCGCACAAAACCGAACTACGGGATTTCAATGCACACGGCAACGAACTGCAGCACATCCACGGGGGTCCCTTTTGCTCACCTCGACCCAAGACAAGCACCATCTTGCGCGATAGCGGAGACTCACACTGGAATCTGGTTGTTCGACTTCCACGATGGTAAAGTCTTTACTCTTCCAACAAAGCAGCGCCTGGCACAGATCGTCACCATGCGGTCGAACTCCTTCCAGTGGCATCCACTCATGAGCGTGGCACTTACTGTCACAAATATAACGTCCTGCTCTGTTATACGCAGGTTGGGCACGATCAGCTTTTTGAGCATCGAAGATCTCGCATCTTCTTGCTAGTCCTGCTAGGTTCGAAATTAATTCAACAAAGCTTGCGCACACCGTAATGGGTTGTCGCGGGCTTTGGCAAGCGTTGAGCGTGTCACACCGTCGCGCTGCATTGCAGGAGGCAGCGCACTGTCTTCGAGAAGCAGCGTCATTGTATCAATATACGCTGCACCGTGAGAGCTCCATTCACAGCTCCAATCCCAGAGGACGAAGTGTTTCCTCGTGATGAAGATGGGGCGAAGTTCAAGAGTTGGTACTGAGTGCAGAGCTCGTTCATCGCAATATTAAGCTGCTCACTCTAACAATGGGGCTCGTCACAAAATAAGAGCTTTCCAAACTCGCTAATGAATACCCAACAAAGCATTTAAGCAACGAGCTTTCGTAATCAGGATGTAAGTCCTGCTTGCCGATGCATCATTCGTTTGCTTTCCTTCTTGTTGCTCAGATCACGTGTGGTGCCTTCCCGAAAGCGAAGGCGTATTACTAGAACTCTTTCAAACTGATGGATATGGTGAGGAAGGTTCATGGCCAGCAAATATTGGGCCAGACCACGGTACGACGTGTTTAGACACGGTAACATCGTTTCCAGCCAAAATCAAGTTTTCCATTGAGCTTGCAGTTATCATGATAAGCGAAACAGGAGCACCCACCTATAGCATTCGATTCGGATCACGCAGTATCGGAAGAAGAATGTCCAAATAGATCTCGCGTAAATACCTCTTCGCCAGCTTGTCCTGACAGCGTGTACAAATCGAAAAGCATTCGACTTGGCATTAGCAGCAAGGTGTTTGTCATGTCACACGGCACCCGGTGTTCTTCAAACGTTACCATATAAGTGCACAGCTTCGTGTAGTCCAGTTGTTCCCTGACAACAATGTTGGAGTTCTCAATGCCATGTGTGGTCGTAACGCATCGCTCGACAGCTGCTTCACATAGCTGACCTACTTTCAAGATTACGCGTTACGTAGAGCTCTCATGGTTGCTCGAAATATGACATCAGCCTGAGGTCGCGACTCTTTTGCAAAACTGACGGGATAGCTGCAAATTTGGTCGCCAAATGAGTCGCCAACCTTAACATAAGCGTTCATCAAATAAACTATCCTTTTCACGAAGTCTTCGTCAGCTCGATGCAGTTTTTCGTCTTCAAGAAACTCAAACAAATCTTCTTGGGCATCTTGGCTTGAAGTGCTTTTGCCGACATGAACAGCGTCTTTTACAAGCCACTCGTGAGCTAAGTCAAGCCGAAGCTTTGTTTGCGGTAGCTGAAGTAGTTCTCCAATTAGTCACCATGTCAAGCATTTCACTGCTGTGAGTAGAAAACCACAACGCGTATAGTCGATATAATTCCAAGAAAAGCTTCTTGGGATGTGACAACAGTGTTAGCAGCTAATTTGTTTGCTCCTTGTCATCTTTGACTTCACATGAACTTGATGTCTGTAATGTTACATTTTGAAGGAGCAACCCCACTTTGGCTCGTACAATTTGGCTTCTAAGTTTGCCAGTGCTTCATGTCCAGTAAAAAAAAGTCTTTGATGGGTCCTCACATCCTTTTGGCCTGTCACAGCAGCATTCAGAGCAAATTCCAGTGCTTTTCGCGTTTCTTCACCCAGTGGAATGCGCTCAGCGAGCCACTCAGCAGCAGTCACCCGGCTTTCCGCATCACTTAAACATCTGAAGATGCCTTCAAACGCACCAAATGGGGCGACCCTGGTGTTTATGTTGCTATTCTTTGAAGAGTTTACTGCATGTTTGCAGTAATCATATTCTTCAGCAGCAGCATTTGCAACTCATCCAACTCCAGTCCAAGAGATTCAGCAAGCCCAATCAACGCATTAAAGTTCTCTTTGCTCGCCAACATTGCCAATATTACTCGAGGTGCTGCGATCAGATCATGAAACGAAATCACGCTGGCGTCTACCTTGTCATCCTGAATCGACACACTAGCTTCGTCGTTCGATACTTGATTTGACATGTTGTTGTTGTTCAAATCTCCTTGTTTTTGAAAAGCAGCAAATGCTTTCAGGTTACGCAAAACCGCCATATTTCTCTCCACCTTTTCTTGCTCAGGGTATGATGTGTTTTCGAGCAACAGCCGAAAAATAAATAGCAGCCTATCATAATCTTGGCCAGAAACTTTGGGACTGCTGTTATAGTAACAACTTCACCAAATGCTTCTCGTGGATATCGTCTACAACGCTAGCAATCTAGTCTTGGTACTCGAGGTTAGAACCAGCAAACTCTTTCAATACAAGAGCTTTCGCGTAAGCTAGAGAGGAAGAGCTGTCTTCAATCTGGTAGTGACGAGTAAACTCCAGAACAGTAAATCAATCGAAATTGCTTCGGGTGATCTACTTTGGTACGAGGCGGCGAATGTACTGCATGTCACGACTTTTGCTTTGAAAAGCCTTGAACTAGACTCGATTCCAAGCAACTAAAGGTAATGCCACCATCTTGCATTCCCCTCCAGTTCCACACACTGATGCAAAAACGCTATCTGCTGCCAAGCCCGAGCCGCATCAGCACCAATACAAGCTACTGCTGGAAACAGTTATAATCTTCCTTCACATGTTCGCGAGAAAGTTGTCTCCGAAACGCGTGACACGCGTCCTCGTGCTGCATGGACCGCATTAACCTGCACAGAATACAGGACAGTTAGTCATGCCGCAGTAAGTATCAAAACGAAGTGACGATAGGTTAATGTACCCCAGCGCCATGTAGTTGTCAATCTCTTGCGAATGCAAGACAGTAGATAAAAGCTTCTCCATCTGTGTACTTACAACACTTGTTGCGTCTTCAGGTAGCTCGTGCATTGACAAAAGTACTTGGAGGCTCAGCAGGTCTACTCGTTGTTCAACGAGAAACGATATATAGGCTTCAATGCAATCGTGTTTCTTGCTTTAACTTCTTGACGGAGGTTCTTGTGTTCAGCATTTGCAAACCTGCTAGCAAGCTTCATTGTTTCGTAGCCGGGCAAGGCGCAGGCATCTCCCCGGTACCAAAGGGAATACAGGATACACAATGGTGCACTACTTTTCGATGATAAGATGCTGTGCTGTGTAAATTGAAGGACCTTGTTAACGAGCATCGACATTTTAGAAGAACCAACGTCTCATCAAAAGACTCCTTGTCACACATACAGAGTGCATACTTTAGCAGTCTCATCGTGTACATCGGTGCTTGCACTTGAGCAACTCACGTTGACGAGAGCTGATGGTTTCGGGCAACAGGGGTATCGTAATTTTCTTTCGCATGTCTTAACGTGTAAAATGAAAGCGATATTGCCACCTTTTTGAGAGCTTCGGCGGGGTCTAAATTGTCAGGTTGTGCTGATACACTTGCTGCTGAGTTTCAAGGGTCGATACGCGCGTTCAATCTTATAGAAAACAATTCTCGAGAGAAGCGAGCCGCTTGCAAGGACAAAACCGTTCTGCGCAGCGCACTGGGTGAAAAGAGAATTGCATATCCTCGTGTCGATGCTCAGTTCCGATGCAAATTGATTCAAATCAAAAACGAGTCGAGTCTCTCCATCATCTTGCTGCAATCTGTGACATGCATAATCCTACGGCTGAGAGCAGCCATTCTCATGTGCCCGCTGTCTTTTTGCAGCAACTGGCAAGCGTTGTTCTTGATACTCCGGTACGCATTTCTCCTTATTTTATTTGGCATCCATTTCTTGTACCTCCATTTCCAAAAGCATAACACCGGACGCGTTAATTTCTTCCATTATCGATACATGCATCGCCGAATTAGAGTTGGGCTCCTTCCATTTCTTTTACCTCTGCAAACGCTTCCATTGCCATCGCCACCCTCAGTGAGACTTTGCTTAAAAGTCCATACGCTGCAGGTACTGTATCATATTCCTACAAAAAATTTGAACAGCTGCGCGATCGCGCAGTAGTAGATCACTGTAGGCATCAACCAAGAGCATAGCATCGGTCAAGGCTGTGGGTCTTGACACTTGGTTTAAGATGTGTGCCACCAATCGTGACGCGCTCTTTGCATCAGCAAGGACAAACTGCTTGATGTCATACGTCGGCAGTATGTAGACGGGCACTTCTATGAAGTTGCCTCGTACTACGAGCACACACCTTATGCACAAGCGAGGAAGCGGTTATACCGTCTTACCTTCGCGTGCGAGGGTGGTTGGGAGGTTGGTCGACTGCTTAAGCAGTCGTACCACCAGTTGCCTCTCGCTTAAGCGAGAGTGCAACGAACTTCTTAACACTTAGAACACCGACGTCACGCAGAAGTCTTTCAACTTCTCGTGCGTGGTGTTTCTGTTTAAGGAAATTCAAGACTGAGCTATATTTAATTAATTATAACTAAATATATACTTAACTACTGATTGGTTATATATATATATATATATATAGATCGGATACGCGACTGTTTAGAAGCGTGTCCTGTCGCATGATCTTAAATCTAGATTTAAGATCGCAACTGACGTCCTTCTGAGACGTCGCGATGCCTAGCTTCAACTAGCGTCATCCCTTCTTATGTGATATGCATCAATGGATATCACATTCACGAGGGTGGATCACATTTGTGTATTGGACCCAAGTGACAGGTCTAAAAGTAATCATGGATACTTTAGACCAAACATTAAGTAGTACTTAATGTTTACGTGTAACTAGATGCCCTGTAACACCATCCCCCATTTTAGAACGATTTTTACATTCTGTAAAACATCGCCTAGGAGACAGAGAGACTTGCGAGCCGTTATACACGTGCCGCCTTAGTCTGCTCAGTACTCATGCCACCGAAACGTGGTAAGGCTGATGGGTCGCCTGCAAAGGCACCCATGCAGTCCAGCACTAAGCGCACGCGCCGCGATGTATCGCAGCCGTCGCAAAGTGCGTCAGGCACTGGGGTGGATCTTCCATCTCACGATAATGTGGATGAAGATCCATCTCTCATTGTGGACTACAATGAGACCACACCACTGCCATCACCCCAAAGTGGCGATGAGCATAGTGCATTGATGGGACATATGTCCCCATCATTTGAGGCACCCGTTCTTGAGGAAGCATCCATGCTTCCTACAAGCGAAGGTAAAACCTCGTCGTCTGCGCCTACGAGCGCAGCGACTAAGACTGAGCGCGCTACTTCGAAAGGAGTAGTCGCGACTCAGTCAGATGTAACTTCTCAGGCT